TAGACATACAAAACACACAGTAATATATATATATATATATATATATATATATATATATATATATATATATATAGTTTACCAGACTGCAGTGTCAGAAATACAGATTAAAGATTATTACATAAATACAGATTATTGGGTGGTGCAGGTGGACTTGGTCTTAACATACTGTCTATCAGCCTTCAATGTCAGAAAAGATTTAGGCTCACTGATCAGTCTTCGTAATAAAGTCCAGTAGGTGGAGATATGAACATAAAACGTAAACCGCCAGTCAATTTTAAAACTAAAAAAATAATAATAATTTACTCAGAACAATATATATTATAGCAAAATGCATAGGATGCAATGGTTTAACTTTAGTCTTTTTTGAGTCATTTACCTGTGAGTCCATAAAAATAAAATGGCAAAACTTCACATTTTTATAATGCATCAAACTGTTTATCAGCTCACTGCGTTATATTTAATGCACCAATGTCAATTTATAACTGATTTGAATTGAGCTGATGATACAATAGACTTGACCTGTTCATCTGTATAATCACAGTAAACATTTAAAAGTTAAAATTCTTCAGATTTTGTGTTGTGATAGTCTAGTACACTATACAGTATATCAGCCTTCTTTGTCATATTTATGACACCCCTCGAAATAGCAGAGAATCCGTGCTTTAAAACAGACTAAAATAGCACTGTGAATAGAGGAACCAAGATGCACTAGGTTTTTTATATCATATTGAGTGCGATTTTTGAAGAATTGCAATAAATGATTAAATAAGCAACGAATATCATACATGCAGTTTAAGTGTGCACTCCACTGACTTTCATTGTATCAACATAAACACTTCAAATGTCTCCTTTTGTCTTCCACAGAAGAAAAGAAGCCACAGATTTCGAAATGAGGGTTTTCGACGTGAGGGTGAGTAAATAATGACAGAAGACTTTCCATTTAACATTTATAGCCATTAGTGCAGGGGAAACACAGTTACATCAGTATGTGGAGACTATGCTGTAATTTACTTGTGATGCAGTTTATGTGTAACCCAAACTGCATTTTGATCTGTGTTTTTTTTTAATCACTGAGGCACGTTTATGGATCTTTTGGACTCCTAAACACACTTTTTACACTCTCTTCAAATATTTCCAGCACGTAAAGTAATAACCAAGAAATACATTTATTACATGCCATAAATCAGACAAACTTAAAAACTAGTATAACAAGTACAATTTGCTTCATAATGAGATATATTGGGGTGAATTAGTTTGTGACATTTTTCTCAGTCATCTCAATGACAAAAAGTGTCCCAGTTTACCTGAATTCACCCTATACTATACGTCAACAATCTTGCAAACATTAAGATCGGAAACATCATTTACAGTCATTGACCTACAGTTCAAAATACACATCATAAACTGTTCAGTGGGCATCTACTTCTGTCTTTTTGCTTTTTATTTGATTTTTTCTTAAATGTTTCCCTTTGAACACTCTCATTAAACTAATTTGTTGTGTATTTTAGTATTTTATTTTGGGGATAATGTGACTGTGTCTAATTCATGACAGATTTTGTCATGCGATTCATCCATTGGTATGTGTGATGTATTTTAATCTCACCCTCATCATGTATTCTTTGTAAATTAGCGTCACCCTTGGGCATGAATCATATATATATGATTCATATAAAAAACACATCTGGAGTAGCATGTTACAAGGATTTAAAGCCTGATTAAAATAGATTAATTTGGCTTTCTCATAATCATGTCTCATTAGCGCAGGACAGAAGTAAGAAGCAGAAGTGGGCAGCATGCTCTGCAGTGTGAAACGAAAAAATACAAATCATTTCCACTCAGGAAAGCACAGCAGAAAGTATCCGGATGTAAAAATTCCATTTATTCTGCCCTCAGAGAAATATAATCTTTCAATAAACCTTCAGTACTGGATGACCTGAGGTTAAGAGATGGTATATGGCCACGTAGAAGTCAGTGATTTTAACTTATTTGATTCTGTATTTTTACATTTCTGGTGAAAAACCACACTTCCCACAATCCTTAAGAGAGATGCACCAATCAGAGAAGTCATGGATATCATGTAAACGTCAATGAACGAGTGAAATGTTTTTTTTTTGTCCTTAAGGAATCAATTTGTTGTGTATTTTAATACACACGAATGCAGAATTTAACACAGAAGGAAAGAAGAAAAAAAAAAGAAGTATTTTATTTCTATTATAATTTATTTGGCGAAACATGTCTAATTGAAAGGGTCTCCCTTCATAGACAAACCAAAGCCTCATAAAAGCCACCACATGCAGGTTTGTGGTTTGACATCAGTATCCAGAAATAAAGTATGCGGATGAAGAACAGGAAGTGAAACAGCAAAGGTTTTGTATATTGACACCGAACTTACTGTCAGTTTAACTGTCAAAGGTAACTACCTAAATTCATCGCTGGTATTGCAAACTACTCTTTCTGGTGTATGTGTATTGTACTAGGCCCATAATTGCTGCTTGCAGCTGTATATGTAAAAATAATAGTGTCTGTTCCTTGTCAGGAAGGTGCTTTTGTAAAGTAAAGGCATGCTGTAGCAATGAAAGGCCAGAATGGACAACTTCTGATAATCAGCATTATGGTCTTGAACCATAAGTCACATGGCTGCGGACATCTTGATTGGTAATCAAACCAGTTGTGGAGAAAATTAACATCTCGGTCATGAATATAAAATAGGATGAGCAGCCACCCTCTATTCGAAGGTAAAGACTTCTGGCATCAATTTAAATATATAAAAATACACTGGCTTTTATTGTGAATGATATGTACAAACATCAAATGCACCAAACAGAACATGAGTATAAAACTTTTTTTTCTTTCTCTCTTTAACAGTGAAGACCGTATACATTGAGCCCTGATGAACCATCAACTAACAGTTAATTTGAAACGCTGCTGCCCTCGGTTTGTATATTAAGTGGAACAAGTGTAAGAAACTAATACAGTGTGGAACAGCAGAGGAAAAAGATCTTCACAAGGTAAAGTGTTACAATATTGCAGAACTTCGTCAGTTTTGAAACCAAATACAGGGTTTGTGGAAGATCTGCCAGATCGATCATCTGCATTAATGATGCTCATGTTGAAGTGCGATGGCCAAACAGCTAGTTTGAAACAACTTCTTGCCGTCTAATGGTACATTTTCAGAACATTTTACATAAAGAGTAAAGAGAGTAAAAAAAAAACAAACAAAGAGAGTACTCTATAAAAGTTAACCCCCCTGCCATCTTAAGCTAAACATGACATTTTGCTGTTTGGATCAGGTTATGTACTTGTGTTTGCTTTCCATTCGGCTCGCACTTTCAAGCAGGCATTTTAAAGAAATAGATCAATCAAAATGCATTAAAATTACATCATTTACTCACCCTCATGTCATTGCAACGTTCCTATGAAACACAAAAGATCTAACGCACAACGTCCAAGCAGCTCTTTTGACAGAAAAAATGAAAAAGACCAGATTATTCTGTGTGAGGAACGGAGCGAAATAAGTCAATGCACTGCTTTTTTTTTTTTTTTTCACAGAACGGTGTAAATGAGGACATTCTTCCTTTTGCATTTCAATGAATTTAGAAAGTACTATGCATCTGGAATGACATGAGAGTGAGCCAATGCTCATTTTAGGAGGAAAGATTTTCTTTTAAAAATTACAGATTTCTTGCATTAAATCAGATTCCTGTAGCGCAGTTGAAATCAAAGTCTGTTTGCCAGATTCTTCAAGATAGAGTTCATGAGTATAGAAGAGTCTTGTATTAGTTACACGCAGCTAGATGAGCAGAGACGGCGTGGGCTTCTTGCCAGGCCATGCCTCTTTAGCGTACTTCTTCTTGCGGGGTTCGCTGAGAGGGTCGGAGATGTAGGGGCCGGGTAGCGGCGTGGGGTTGAGCACGAGCGGAGGCGGCGGGGCCTCCTGGGCCAGGTCTACATCCGGGGCCGGGTTGGGCAGGGGTAACGGCAGTCCTCCCAGGATTGTGGCTCCGCCGGGCGCTCCTGTGGATTGAGTTTCGTGACTGGCCGGGGGAAGGTCTCTGTAGAGTCCACCATGCAAAGGGAACATGTGGATGTGTCGAGTCATGGTTTCCTCGATTCCCAGCGCATTGCCTCCGCCCATTTTCTTCTTCTGTTGGGTAAACAAACAGGAGCATGTAAACATGTAAATCAAGCTCTCCTTTTTGCATAAATGACTGAATGACTTGAGAAATTACCTTAATAGGAACCACAGCTGTTGTGACCATGTTTCTGAAACGTCCAACAGAGGGGTCGATGTCCTCTAAAAAAAAAAAGTTAACGACACAAACATTGTTAAAAGCCTCAAGTCACAAAAGTAGTGAGGGATGCAAAAGGCCAAGTCTTAGGTCATATGATAGCTTTGAATGATTTGGGGGGGGGGGGGTGATGTCATTAATACACAGAAATAAAGCTGAAATAAAATATAAAACAAACAACTAAAGCTTTGGCAACTAAATAAGTTTGTTTATCTGGAAATAAATAAAAACTGAACTAATATTAAATCTGAAAAAAATAACATCTAAAGGCCAGTTCACACCAAGCACGATAACTATAAAGATATAGTTCTAAAAATCTCTCAATATTAAAGAATAGCAGAGTCCACACCACAGCTATAACGATAAAGGCAAAGAGAAACGATATCGTTAGAATCACTTTCCGAACAATTTTTTCCTGCTGGTGAATGATAAAAACATTGACAGCCAATCTTAAATTATGGGACAAAAAAGCAGCAACTGCAGAACATCTTAAGTGTAATTGTTACATTTCAAAAGTAATTGATTGAATTAAATGTGATCACTGCATGTTCAAAGTCAAAGCATGGCATTGTTGCATGTTCCACAAGCTTGTGGTTTCAGAGTAGTTCACGATTAACAAATAACTTGCATTTACGCCAAACGATTGCTTATGATCCGTTGTGGATGACCCAGTGGTTGATTGAGGTGCAGTTAAAGGTCAGATAAGTTAAGGCTAATCACTCTACCTGGGTTAATGATCTCATCCTCTTCACCGAAGGTCACTCTGGAGTTCCTCCTCTTCCTCTTGGGTCTCTGAATATCCAGGTTGCCCTCCTCTATGGTGAGGGTGGAGATGCGCTTGTTATGAGCCGTGTTGAACTCAGTCAGATTCTGCCCCAAAAAAATAAAACATTTGAGAGATCTGCTCATTCATTGCAATGGACCTGAAATTAATTTTGCAGACCAATTGTGCCCGTGTAAATCTCTCTAAAAGACCCTAAAACAAGCGACATGGATACATGGGGTAATATGGGAAGTCTAATAATCAACAAGAAGGCAATCAAATTCAAATTTGATTTTGAACAATTATGAAAACAAGCTAATCAAGATTATCCTGTAATTGTTGATTGCGCCGGCAAACTAGGAGTGTAACGGTACACAAACATGACGGTTCGGTACGTACCTCGGTTTTGACGTCGCGGTTCGGTATGGTTTCGGTACAGTAGGAGTTAAAAATACAATTTTTTTTTAAATTAAACTTTTACTGAACAAATTGCGCTCTCTTTAAATAAGTTCAATTAGAATAAATTCTTTACAATCTACCTCATAAAATAATTTTTTTTTAAATCGACCTCTGCTCTTAACTATAGAGAGCCCTTTTACATTAGCTACTATAAAGGTTACAATTAACAACAGAGCTCAAACTTAAATTTGATTACTATTTATTTTTAACTATAATAATCAACACTCAATTTTTTTTTAAATTGTACGCAAAGACATAAATTGCACTCAATACAGTTTTTAAATTTACACAGTGACTGACATATGTTTCATTAAAGATATTTAAAAAAAAAATTTATATAGCCTACATTAAATAATCGAGACATCACTAACAGGTAAAATAAAATATAATGAGTATATAATCTAATATTTCGCTAAATGCTCTTCTCTAGACTTCATTTCTCTGGTGAGCTGACGAGTTTTTTTTTACTGTACCAGAGAATTTTGGGGCTTTTTGGGTTTTATAACAATATTTTCCAGACTAGTGGAAAGAAAACATCCAAAATACACATGTAAAAGTTATACAAAGTGAAATTTGGATTTCTCTTTCAAAACTGCAACAAAATGAAACGTGAAATAAAACGAAAAAATTCTGAACCTAGCTTGATCCGATGCTCAAATGTCTGTGCTGGAAATGCATGCAAATGAATTCTTTTTTAATTAAGTAATGCCTCGTGTATTTAAAGGTCTCCGAAAACTACTAATACAAAATGTATCGTCTTAAATGTCCTCCTGTGATTAATCCACTGGGAAAATTAGTGATATCTATTAGCGATTAAACATTTTACTGTTCAGCTGTAGTGTCTGGCATTAAATGTTCTCAGGTGCCACTTTGGATGGCACTCTATATATACCACAAGCTAAGTTACCATAATATAAAATGACTCCTAGCATGGCAACAGTATTTTTGTGATACAGCCCATGCATGTAAAAATACTTTCTTAAAGGGGTCATATGATGCAATTTCAAGTTTTCCTTTCTCTTTGGAGTGTTACAAGCTCTTGGTGCATAAAGAAGATCTGTAAAGTTGCAAAGACTAAACTCTCAAATCCAAAGAGATATTCTTAATCAAAGTTAAGATTCAACCACGCCTACCTAAAATGGCTCGTTCTAACATGCTCCCACATGTCTACATCACTATGTGGGAAGATTTGCATAACGCCGCCCAAATGTGCACGCAAAGAAAGAAGGCGTGGTTTCAGGAACAGCAGTCGTGTTGATGCAGCATGTCAGGGAGACGCTGTGTGATTCAGAGCGAAAGCAAATGTGTGCTTGCGGTGTTCGGCCAATCACAATGCACTGGGCCAGCTGGCCAATCAGAGCAGACTGCGCTTGTCAAAGGAGGGACTTTGTAGAAAACGAAGCGTTTGAGAGAGGCGGGGCATAGAGGACCTACAATAATGTACAGTATTTGAAAAATAATGTGTTTTTTGAACATTAAAGCATGTCAACATATTCTGTTACACCAAATACACAAAATAATGATCTTTAAAATAGCATCATATGACCCCTTTAATGTGCCCTAGAGTTATAACAGCTGAGGGAGCGACTCCCCTCTCAGAGCTCAAGCCTCAGGGTCTTGTGTTTCTGTAGCACGCTTTGGATCATCACGCCTGCATCAGTGTGAGAAAACTCAGCTGAGCCGCAGGCACACAGGGCAGTATCTGCTGCATCCCGGTCACTGTTTGGACAAGTGGTCAATCACAGGAATGACCGACCCACTAAATAAATATATAAACCCATACTCATTTGTCTTTTTAATCTTAAGAGTTGTGGTTCCTGACTTTGCATAGAAAAGAGCTGCTGTAAGACTCCTTAAAAACTCTGGAAAACAACACCAGAGGGAAACATGATTAGCAGATGTTCTTAAAACTCAATGCAATACCTCAACAAGCTTGTCTCCTTTCACCACGTCCAGATGCAGTCCTGCTGGAGGCTTCCCTGCCCTGAGACAGAACCAACACATGCATCAACTCATCTACTTACTAAACACATGGTCAGAAACAAAGCACACAGCAGCCGAGGTGTCCTCTGTAAACATCTACTCCGATTACATTAACACAATATACACTTGTACACAAAAGAAAGCAGTTTGTAAAACTAGCTCGAGTTTCAGTGTGGCGCTAGCTCTGCTAAAGAGCACGAGAGCTAACAGCTCGCTGTAAGACTGGTTGCTGTTTTTATGCTGGATACAATAAAGCCTTATTGACGCACTAAATCCAGCAAGCGCTGGAGTGTTTTTTTACCATGATGGACAGTCGAAAGGTGGGTTATTTTCTGTAGTATTTGTTGCCATTGTCACACATTCCCCCCTGCTACAAGCACGCCGAGCATCTTGGGTAATCTACTCAAAACTGAACGTCTTCCGGTTCATAAATATTACGACGTTCCTTTAAAACTCGCGATTGATTGGCTTAAAAGCAGAAGTGGGCGTCACGCAACAGGCGTTGAATGACGGACGCGAGGGAACGCCCCTTTAGTAAGACTAACCAATAGCAATAGTTGCGCAATTAATATTAATGAGCTTAGCCTTCGCCATATAAGGACTTGTAACTTCGCCTTCCGGGAGACGGCTGTTTATACGATGACAACACAAACGAAACCGCATTAATATTAATTATTAACGCAGTTACTGCTAAAGAGCACGAGAGCTAACAGCTCGCTGTAAGACTGGTTGCTGTTTTTATGCTGGATACAATAAAGCCTTATTGACGCACTAAATCCAGCAAGCGCTGGAGTGTTTTTTTACCATGATGGACAGTCGAAAGGTGGGTTATTTTCTGTAGTATTTGTTGCCATTGTCACACATTCCCCCCTGCTACAAGCACGCCGAGCATCTTGGGTAATCTACTCAAAACTGAACGTCTTCCGGTTCATAAATATTACGACGTTCCTTTAAAACTCGCGATTGATTGGCTTAAAAGCAGAAGTGGGCGTCACGCAACAGGCGTTGAATGACGGACGCGAGGGAACGCCCCTTTAGTAAGACTAACCAATAGCAATAGTTGCGTAATTAATATTAATGAGCTTAGCCTTCGCCATATAAGGACTTGTAACTTCGCCTTCCGGGAGACGGCTGTTTATACGATGGCAACACAAACGAAACAGCATTAATATTAATTATTAACGCAGTTATTGTATGTTGAAACAAAAAGTGCATGTATAATAATTGACACCGCATTGAATTGTATCCGTTTAAATAAATAAATCAATAAACATGCAAATAAAAGTTTTGTGTGGTTCTGGGTGAGTTCCTCTGAGACTTCCTCTCTGGACTAACTTATAGTTTTAGTGTGCGCACACAGAAGAGCAGCTCAAGTAAGACTAACCAATAGCAATAGTTGCGCAATTAATATTAATGAGCTTAGCCTTCGCCATATAAGGACTTGTAACTTCGCCTTCCGGGAGACGGCTGTTTATACGATGACAACACAAACGAAACCGCATTAATATTAATTATTAACGCAGTTATTGTATGTTGAAACAAAAAGTGCATGTATAATAATTGACACCGCATTGAATTGTATCCGTTTAAATAAATAAATCAATAAACATGCAAATAAAAGTTTTGTGTGGTTCTGGGTGAGTTCCTCTGAGACTTCCTCTCTGGACTAACTTATAGTTTTAGTGTGCGCACACAGAAGAGCAGCTCAGTGTGTGTGTGTGTCAGCGGTGAGAGATGGGAGACCTCCAGGCTCTGCGAGTCTTCATCAGCTGTCTGGATCAACAGTCTCTACCCCGCATCCTGCAGGTCTGCTCTGGGGTTTATTTCCAGGGTAGGTTTATATGATTTTACTCTCTCTCTCTTTCTGCATATTCTGTATGAGACTTTCTCAAGGCATAAAAACACATAACAAGAAGCAAGAGAATACTGTTCCTCAACCAAAGTAAAAAATAAATAAAAAATTGTGTTCCACTATGTCCATATTTATTTTGCATTGTGATTGTTAATAATTCTCCCAGTTTTGTGTATCTTTTGTAAAATGAGGAACACAACTTTGATTTTAGTCCCAGAGATGGTATAAAAGTAATGACATTTTGAATTATTAGTTCTTTAATGGAGCCATTGAATAGCCATGCACTTTTTTAGAAATGTGACTTGCTCAGTTTATGATGCTGTTTCTGTTTAGTTTAGATTTGACCCATTTTTGCATTTGAAAATAGAGTGAAAAATAAACAATGCGCATATGAAACCTGAATGCACATTGTCATATTTTATGCCTGGGATCTCTGAAACCCCAAACCGAAGTAAAGTACCATTTTCCAAGCGTGCCACAGAGTTAAAATGACTTATTTCAGCGTAATGCCTTTGTGTTATTGAAACGGCTGTGGGGTGTCTCCGACCCCAAACAGGACATGAGGTTTAAGCACTTCGTTTTTTCATTGTCAGTGTGGTTTACAATGTGAGACCGAACAGCAGTCGAGTTTAGTCTCATCTGTGTTGTATAGCCTACACTTTCCCCATGCTGAACACAACAAACCTGCCACCATTGAGAACCACTGCTTTAAATAAAGAGGATGACTGAAGTACAATATTGAAGTAAAATAAAACAAAGGCTGCTATCTATAATAAGAACTATGCCTCATCACAGAGGAAGGTCATATCATATTCGGACTAATTTTCTAATTGTTTTTCTTAAAACAATATCTCAGGACATCTTTTA